ACTCATATCATATCATTTACTTTTGTCGATGAAAACATTGAGAATGCAATAATTAAAAAAGTAAGCACATCTAAAATCCCACATTGTAATTGGCGACCAGGACACAAAAGGCCCCCAACCAACAATGCTATTTTTGGATAACAGCACCCACAGGACTGTTTCATATTGATATTTTAGATTGTCCAGAAATAAATACAAATTTATATATTATTAATGAGCATACAAGTTTATATATTAATACATTTTTTCTAACTCGGGTGTTCTTCCGTTGTGGTATTAGACAGCCGAATATGTGAAAGATTATCGTGTTCATCAGGCCTCCATTCTATGTCCTTATCTGAGAAGACTTTGTTCTACCAATGGGCTAGGAGCGGCTGGAACCAGTGCCGATGTTAAGGCTGTATTTAGCAGCGCCCCTGCCTTACCGCTCAGCCACTCAACTTGTTATTCCTTTTTTAAAAATTATTTTGACAGACCTCATATAAATGTAAATTCTATAAATATTAATTTTTGTGTAAAGCATACTAACAATGCATAGAAGTAACACATCAAGTAAAAATACTGGGTAGCAGCATGACTGGCATATCTAGGGGGCAAAAAGGTGTTTATATCCCTCCACCTTCACATCACCCAACCAACAATGTCATGTTAACATAAAGCAACCCTCAGGCCTGTTTCATATTGATATTTTAGATTGTCTAGAAATTAATAAACTCATGACGTTCCTTGAAAACACAAGAGCATATACAAGTTAATATAAATAATGCATTTTAATTTAATCATTTCAGGTCAAAATGTATCTTGCAATTGCTATACAACTCAGCATTATCTGCATCATCCAAGCAGCTGCTCAAGGTGATACCCAAGTTTGTAGTGGCTGTTGTACTGCTCCTGCAGGGATTCCTGGAATTCCAGGCAGCCATGTACCAGTGGTCCTGGTCCAATAGGCATGAAAGGAGATGTTGGAGCAAAAGGAGAGAAGGGAAACCAGGGATCAGATGGAAGAGATGGGCTTCCAGGTAAAATAGGACCAATCGGTTTACCGGGTGCTACTGGTGAGAAAGGAGGAAAAGGAGAAAAAGGTGAACAAGCTACCACAAACAGCCAGCCCAAATCTGCCTTCTCAGTTGGATATAATGTAAACCCAGGCCGCCATCCAATTAGTCCTATGAAATACTCGTTAATAATTACCAACTTTGGGAATCACTACAATAAAGAAACAGGAAAGTTTGTCTGTCAACATCCAGGTATCTATGTCTTCCAGTTTACATCAGGCTCATCAAGGGGTAGTAATGATAATATTTTGACAAGCATCAAGAAGAATGGGCAACGCATTCTCTCCTCACGGGAGACTGGTTCAGGGTACAAATCAGCCAGCAACATGGTAGTTCTTGATTTAGTAGCAAATGATGAAGTGTGGACTGAGCCTTACAGTACCAACCATAACTATTACTACAGTAATAACTACATCTACTGTTCTTTTTCAGGCTTCCTGCTTTATGCATCTGCATAAGGAAATTTTGAAAAGCTAATAATTACAAATTCCAAATCAGCAAATTGCAACAGAATATGACAATCCTTTTTAATGACTTTTTATCATTAGTAAATAATATAGTATTAGAAAAAAAAGTAGGAATGCTAACTCAATGCTGTATTAGGAATGTCAGCATTCATTACAAAAATTCAATTCAATTCAATATTTATTTGGTCCAAAAGCTATTATCCGCCATACAAGAAACATGCTATTAGTGGCCTTATATGGCCTCCTATACACACAACATCTTCTATATTATATGATAGTGAATACAGGCATATTTTTATTAAATAATAATGCTACAAGTATAGTCCAAGGCACAGCAAGCATTCTTAGCCTACGATGTAACATCATACAGTTGTTAGTTAATGATACTTGATTAATAATAAAAATACAATATGATCACTTTACTAGGACTAGCTAATGTTTTTGGAATTCTCTATTATTTGAGTACTATGAATAAAAGAAATTTAAAAATGAACAAACATGTTACAAATTGTCTGGTTTTTGTCTGAATTTGTGCTGACATCAAAGCTCACTCACCAGGATTTTGCAAAAATGTGGTTTGAAAACCAAAGGGCGTCAAGTCTACAAATCTCACAACTGCAATATTGGGGGTTTGCATTACCATCTTTAGTCGAACCACCAAAAAAAAATTCTTCGTTATAATTATATTGCGAACTAGTTTTAATAAATATATTTTATTTATAAATAATAAAATTATGTTGTATGATGTCTATTCAAATTATACTGTACTAGTATATAGGTATAGGCCAGGTTTTATTCTAGGCTGAGAAATTAACACGTTGCAGCTTAGCTAAGGCCTGGATAAACAGGTACAAAAAACATAAATTTTATGCCGACATTGTAAACACAATAAAACACCAGTAATTATTAGTCAATGAAAGAAACATACCTAAATTTCAAAGAGACTAATTTTCTCAATTTAATTTATGCTTTAAAGTGAATTATTCCAGAATCATCTAACCTACATTCAGCAACTCTCAACTGATAGGTTACTAATCATACCAGATACTGCAGGACATATGAACACATATAGGTTTATGTGCTTTGCTGATGATGTACTCAAAAAAAAAAAAAAGGAATAGGCCAACAAAACAGAAAATGGAGTTGGATATTACACGATATCCTTTATTTCACTTTTTACACATAAAAATTGGTGCATGCAGGTATAGTTGACTCACATGGTGTGTGTACTATGTTTGGTTACTCACATAGTATGTGTGTATGGTTGAATCGCATTTGGATTTATATAGCGCTTGATACCGAACAGTCTCTGCATTGATGTGCGAATTGGCTCTTATAATAACTTACTTCTCCCCAGAGGGTCTCTTTATGTCTAAGCTACCTGGTCCACCAGTCTGAGCAACTCTTGTCTGTCCAAAATAGGGGGGGGGGGGTGAATGGACCAGTAACCTGGGGTAGCCCCCCCTGCTTGTCTTTAAAGATGTACTGGGTTCTTTAAGTATGGAATATGCAAAATCCCATGACGTGTGCAGGTATGGTTGACTGACATGGTGTGTGCAGTTATGGCTGACCTACCAGACCCTATATGCTGTGTGCTGGTATAGGTTACTCAAATGGTGTATGGATGTATGGTTATTGGTCTCACATGGTGTGTGCAGGTATGATTTCTCACATGATGTGTACGTACGGTGAGGTTCACATGGTGTGTGCCGGTTTGATTACTCACATGGTGTGTGTGTAGGGTTGATTCGCCTGGCAGGTGGAGCACACCTGCCAATCCCTGGGTCATGAAAATATTTAGGTTTTTTTTTTAATCTTACCAAAAAATCCAAATTAACCAAAAGATGATGCAAGATACTAAAAAAGACACGTCAAGAAATTATTGGCTGTTGGTGGCGACATTTGAATAAAAAATGGCTGCTTGTCACGAAGCAAGCAGGCAGCGAATACATTGATTAATAACGTTCGAATCAATCAAATTTATGCATAAATCCGAGTATTTGCGGGGACGGGTAAAATAAGTGAAATCAGGTGAAAATTACATTCGATAGAGAGAACTGGAGATTTTTAAAAATATCAGGTGACCCCCGAGAGGATGGGGTGAGTTGACAGGTTTGGTGCAGGTATGGTTACTCGCACGGTGTGCGCAGGTGTCATTACTTACATAAAGTGTGTGCAGGTATGGTTCACATGGTGTTTATAGCATTAATTTAACATATTGGCGATTATCTGTCCATAAAGACTAATTATTAAGTTATATGCATGTTAACTTTATTGGAGTATATTGTGTCTGTCTGTCACCTAATTGCCTTGTTCCTGACATTTAATGAACCTGCCACTACTTGGACTAGATAGTCGTGGATCTCAGAAAGACTACAAAAGGTTAGTTTTGATTATCTTCATACATAATAATAATAATAATAATAATAATAATAATAATAATAATAATAATAATAATAATAATCTTTCTTAATTCACGGGACTCTTTCACCCACTGAGTGTTCTTACAAAAGCTGTGAGGTACATAAATACAATTGTATAAAACTTATTAAACTAAATTAAAAATAAAAATGCACATTGTCAGATAGGATGGATAAAATAGTCAGATAGGATGGATAACAATGATCCACACCCTCTTTCCAGAATGAAGTAATGTGTGAAATATCGTTCCGAGTAGCTTTATTTTCATCTTCACCATTACCGTCTCTACAACCACCATCATATCACCATGATGAGTGGTCATGGATAACAGTAAATGAATAATTATAAAAAAAGATTTAAATGAGCACTCGTTCTGATTGCCTTTAAGTTCTGTCAGATGTATTTTTTTGGTGATAGTGATAACAAATATCCACTCCAAATTCCATTTAAGAAGTAAGGCAAGGAGCTTTGTATTCATTCCAACATAATATTAAAAAACCTTTGTTCTGATTCCCTTCAATGAGTTCATTATTATTTGGACATACATTCGTAATGATATCCAAAACCATGATATCTAAAAAAATTGGATAATGAGTGGTCATGGATCAGGTTAAATAAGTAAAAAAAAAAGGTTTAAATGAAATGAGCACTTGTTTTGATTACTTTTAGGCACACCAAATTTCAGGTAAGAATGTAAGGCAAGGAGCTTTGTATTCATCCGGACAAATATAAAAAAACCTTTGTTCTGATTACCTTTAAGCACAGTCAGATATATTGGGATGGTAATAAACATCCACTCCAAATTTCCGGGTGGAAAAGTGAGGGGCTTTGTATTCATACTGACAAATATCCAGAGACACCTTTATTCTCCGTAACGATAGTTAAAAACCGGAATATTGTCGGGTAATATTGGTTTTGGAATTCAATAACAAAGTTGTTGAACCTTCATTTAATCCATCTGGATTCACAAGATAAGAAAGATAGAAAAAAAGTTCAAGAAATCTGATTGTATATAAAGGTAATCAGAACAATGAAAAATTCATTCAGTACACAAGACAGCATTAAAGAAACAGCACATCAAACAAGAAAACATCTCTCAGCACATCAGACAAGGCAAAGGACTTCAGCAAGATTCAAAGGCAAGTAGAAATTGAAATAAGTTTGCTTACAGTTCTGCTTTTCAAACATAGTCAATCTAGTTTTACCATAGTACAATTACTGTAGTTTTTTGTAGCATATGATTTAGTTTATGGACTTCTAATTACATAAAAAGAAGGTTCAACACTAGTCATATGTACTTCAATAAATATGTTTTTTAAACATTTTGGTAATATGTATGCACTATTCACTAAGTAGAAGAGGCTGTAATGTTGCTGAATTGATTTTAGTTTAATAGTTTTTTCAATTCATAATCAAACCAGTCGACCCAGTAGTAAATGATATTTGAATTGATAATTATATAATCATGGAGTAAAAACAGATTGTTTACAATGGAGGTGACATCTTCTATTATTAACTGTCAAATGTAAAGAAAAGGCCCCATTTTATTTAAGTAATAAATTTATTTTTAACAACAATAATCACCCTCAATGTACTAGGAACAAGCCTAATAACTTGATTTAACAAAAATGGGATCAGGCAAATTTTTATATCGTGAAACTAAAGCATGGAACATCCTTGCAAATGAAATTCAAACAATTTTTAATGAACTTTCCATACAGTCTTTTAAAAATCTTTTAAACGATATATAATTAAACACTATTTAATTACTCTCTTCCTGACAAAATATTGAATCAAAATTTTACAGATTTTTCCTTTTCAATTCTGTCTTAAACTATTTTGTTTTCGATGCAGTAGTTTCATATTTATGTACATATTGTTTTTCTTTTACTCATTAGTTTTGTCTTAAGTTCAATTTCTTTTTCCATTTTGGTTTTCTTTTATTCATTTTTCTTGTGATCAACTTGCGATACCAGTGCTACACCACTGAAAGTGTTATCACAAAAAAGACAGAAATAAATAAATAGATAATGTGCTTTATTCAGGTTAGAAAGTTAACTTGTAATTGCAAAAATAGTGGAATCAGTCTATATAATATATTTTCAGATGCTAATTATTTGTTTTCATTGTATTTACTGATTGTAAATATTATATGGATAATAGTATCCAAATTAAATCAATTATTTCAGACCATAGGCATTAAAAATTTTTTTTTGAAGAAAAATATCCGACCCAGATATTTTCTTTTTTGGAGAGAAAATTTTTTTAAATATATTTATATAGTTTATATTTCAATTACTTCAAAACTATGCTTGGATTATTATTCCTCCCATTTCTTCCACGGACTAACTCTCTGTTGCACACAATATGTTTCTTATCATGTGCAACATTTCTACCACAATTTCTGCCATAAAGAGTTAATTCATTGATGCATAGAATGAACAAAAACAACCATTGCTTCTAATAAATATTGGAAATAGGGTCAAGTAAATGTTGTTCCCCCAACTTTGTGGAATGACCAATGACATTACTACTTTATATTTAGTGAATTGCCGTCGTTGTTGTTTGCGTAAAATTGAATTGATTCAACTTTACACAACGCAAGGCCACAACGCAAGGAAAAAGCTAATTTGCGCATACTCAAACTGTGGGATTTACAGTAAGTGCTTCGTGTTTACATGTTGGATATGAGTTATCTTTCATCTTGACCATCGCTATCTTTATCAATGATGTTGCTACTATTATTACTGTTATTAATATCATTATCATCATAGCCTAGCCTAGCATGGTCTGAATAGATGTGATGGTGTTCTTCTACTGCATGACATACTGTATATAATACTGTAAACATTAATACTCTATAACGCATCTTAACCAACCGTTCTTCAAAACTATTTATTACACAGGAATGATGTTGCTGCTATTATTACTGTTATTATTACCATTATTGTTATTATTATCATTATCATCACAGCCTAGCCTAGCCTGGTCTGGATAGAGCCACTGTGATGGTGTTCTGCTACTGCGTGGCATACTGTATATAATACTGTAAACAATAATACTGTACTTATTTAACGCATCTTACCTAATCGTTCTTCAAAACTATTTATTTATTACACAGGAGTGAAGGGAGCGGGGGAAGGCCCTAGTAGGACAGAAAACCACAAGTCGTCGAGGAGAAAAAAATATATATGTATTTTTTACACAGACCCCTATTAGTAGACTCCGAAATCGATTAAATAAGCCTTTGAAACCCCTAAATTGTCATATTTTTTGGTGGCTTTTCCGACTGCACTATGTAGATCTTACGAGGGATTTTGAGCAGCGTCCGGCCACGTCCACTTTCTTTTTGTCGTTGACATTGGACACCCCTACCCACCCATTGGGCAACTCCTGGTGCTACCCCTATTATTACATTGATTTAAATATTTAGCTGAGTCTAGCACTATGTTTGACTCTAATTTTAGCTTTTTATTTTGGTTGTTTTAATGTACAGTACTTAATCATATTTTTGTTATGTAAATATATTTAGGCCTACTTGATATCCAGATCTGCGTAAGCAAAATTTCAGTCCTAGATTTAAAAAGCATGAAAATGTCAAACAAACTGTAATCAAACAATAAGGAAACAATGTATTGTATATTTAAACTGATTAAACTGAATATTTACTAAACAGACCTAGGCTTAATCTGGGGGTTTATGTCTGTGGAACACTTATAATTGTTGATTTAATATTATAATTATTTTTCTTCAGGGTAGGCCTATCATTACAGTTGCTAAAAAGCAAAAAAAGGTTAATTTAAAGCATTAACTGTTTCATTGCGTTTACGCGACGGCAGTGGCTGCGCCACCTGGGGTTTAGATGGGCTTAAGCCCCCACCGGACAGGTCAAGGCCAACGTCGGGTAGTCAGACCATAAAAAATATAAAAGTCTGAGTGTGCCATGTCTGGCCATCCAGAAATTCCTCATGAAAAAAGTCATATGTAGGAGGAGGTGAACCCCCTCTCAAACCCTTCTCCCAGCTCGGGCCTATGAGCTCAAGCCTTATTGTCGGACAGGCCCCTCTCCCCAGAAAATATATCGTAGAGCCGTCACTGCGCGGCTCTAGCATATATATAGATATATATATATTAAAAAATGAAGATTCCACGTTTGCTTCGATAAATAAAAAATATAGAAAGACAGCAATAAAAAACAGCTATGAGTTGTAAACATACTAGAAGCAATATTTATTTATTAATTCACAAATATTTCAAACACTCCTGTGTTCTTCCTCAGTGTGAGGACAACTGACAAAAAATACAAAGCAAAGCAATATTTACACACGAAACGAAAACAGAACATCGAATCAGCGGTAAAGAACAAAGGCCCGTAATAAAATGCGCATCCTAAACGTTCTACTTAATATGGAATAAACTAAGTAGACAAAAGCTGGATAAAGGCCTAGGAACCAAGAAAAAAATTAAGTATATATTAAATGAATAATCTGATAAGTAATTTGAAATCTATTCTCTCATCCTCTAAACTCCATAAGAAGTCCAACTCTTCTGGTAATGTTAAATGTAGTAAACCCAGATGTCAAGTTTGCAATTTCATGTGCACCTCTGACACATTCACTATTCCTAGTACTAATATTACTATTAGACCCCCCTACACTTACTTGTGATTCTTCTAACGTTATTTACATTTTATTTTGTAACAAATGTCAAATTGGTAATTACATTGGAGAGACTGGCACTAAATTCCGCCTCCGATTTAATAATCACAAAAAAACCATCAGAGACAACTCCACTGGTTTCCCAGTAGCCTGTCACTTCAATCTACCTAACCATAGCATTAATGACATAAGATTTATTTTGGTCGCTAATAACTTTTTATCCCTCTCACATAGACGCAAAGAAGAATTGAAGTGGATTCTTAGAACCAATTCTTATATTAACGGTTTAAATAAAGACTTAGATTACTTATCAGACTATTCATTTATATATACTTAATTTTTTTCTTGGTTCCTAGGCCTTTATCCAGCTTATATCTACTTTGTTTATTCCATATTAAGTAGAACGTTTAGGATGCGCATCTTATTACGCGCCTTTGTTCTTTACCGCTGATTCGATGTTCTGTTTTCGTTTCGTGTGTGAATATTGCTTTGCTTTGTATTTTTTGTCAGTTGTCCTAACA